GGGATCTGGGAAGCTCTCGCCCTGAGTTATAAGTTGTGCCTGGGGTTGTAGAAACTTGGTGGGCCTGAAAGAGAGAAGGCAGGATCCATGGAAATAAAAGCAATGATAAAGAACTTCAGGGGAGAAGTAAAAGGGGTTTCTCCAGGCTGTGTCCATCTGAGTTCACCAAACAGTGACATAGGCATTGAGAGGAGGCTTTTGGTTCAAAAGTCAAGTGTCAGAGTTACCAGTAGCTGGTTAAAGTGGGAACAGAACCAGCTGCAAAGCTCAAGGAACCCCCACAGAGAAAAATCAGATTTATTGGTAGACAAATGCACAACTTGTTGGGAAGTGAAGAAGACATTTTGGGACAAGTAAGATAGGATCTGTTGGTCAATCTAATTTATATAGTAAATCAGAGTGTATTTACTTGGTTCATTGAATTTATATTACCTGTGTTATTTTTAATTGTAACAGTAATACAGAAAACAATTGAAAAGATGCAAACATATATAAAGGGAAAGAATACTGCTTGCCTCTTCCCTTCCTAATGTAAGTATGTTGAAATGTAGCTTCATAGATTTTCTACGTATATAAGAAACAGGGACTTAATAGACCTATCTGTTGCTGGTATGTAAAAATGTGGACTCCAGAACTAGATTTCCTGTGTTTGAAGGCTGATTCCACCACTACCTGTGTTACTTAAGCAAGTTATAGATTCTCTGGATGGCATGCTTTTGTTTTCTTTGTGGGTTTGCCAATATATAAATAGGGAAAGTGACAATACATACCTCATCAGGATTAAATAATTTATGTGGTGAGTAGACACAGCTGATATTCACATCCAATGGGCCTAGAGGTCAATTCCTCCCAGTGATACCAACAAGAATCAAGACTTAACTACAACAAGGTTGTACACGCAGTCAACAAAGGGGAGCACCAAGAGTGTCTATCTCAGGTTACTGGGGAGGCTGATCCACTGGACCATATAGGACACCAAACACAGAAAGCCACCCTACCAACTCAGGGAAGCAGCGAAAATGCCGAGACAAGGAAATAGATCTCACATGAAAGACTATGTATCCAATCTTTTGGAGGAGAACAAAAGACTGGATATGGAGTTCAAAACCATGGTTATAAGATTTTTCAAGAATTTCCTAGAAAAGGCCAATAAATTTAATGAGACCCAACTAGAAATTAAACAAACACTGACTAAAATAAAAAATATTATACAGAGATCCAACAGCAGACTGGAGGAACACAAGAATCAAGTTAAACAGTTTATGTAAAGTACTTATAAGAATGCTGGGAACCTGGTTAGCACTGTCTTGTCATTACTACTACAAAAATTATTAGCTCTACTACTATTATTTACATCCATACCAAAATGGGTTTGTGTCCTCTATATTATGATGATGTGAAAATTTCACTTAAAATATACCTAGGACATTCTTCTAGGTAGGTACAAAATAGATGTAACTCATTCTTTGCAATAGCTATATGATACTCTAACATGCGTATTATCAAGCAATCTCCCTCTCAAACGTTGTCTTGCCATGTACACAGCATTGGTGTCAGAGTAGGGCTGACCCTGCAGCCTCACTCACGGGGAAACTGGCAAAGAGAAAGGGAGCCCTGGCATATACCCCACTCACCTTGGGTCAGCAGTCCAGCCCAGAATGGTAGAAGGAGGAGACCTGTCAGGAAAAACAACCTCTTTTCCCTAGTTCCCTACTTTTCAGATCTCCAAGCCATCTGCCTATCCCTGTCACTCCGCAGGTATTTCTTCTAGGAACTAGCTCAGAGGACAATTGGAGAGACAAAAATGTGAGCTCCCTGTTCTGGATGTTTGCTGAATAGCAAACCAGAAGTAACATAGTCCCAGAGAGAAGCGGTCTAAGAGTTGCTTTTCATGGGGAGTGTATGGGTGGCTGGTGGGGACTGTGTCCCACAGTCGTATGTTGCAGCACAGTGGGCTATGGGGGCAGATATGTGGAAAATAAGTGTGGATTTGGGTTAGAGTTCCTATCTATACCCACAGGAGTCAAAAATAAATGACATTCCTTGTCATTTATCTATCTCCATTTTTAGGTCAGTTTTTGTGAAGAGCATCCTTGTATATATACTTTAATAGAGCTACTCTTATTTCTAAGAAAGGTTAGTAGTAGATGGGTCGCTGGTCTAAGGATAGGTACGCCTTTGAAATTGATTGCCGCTGTTAGATGGTTGTCAGTTTTTTAGCCCTTTCAGCAGAAGTGACGTCCCCAAAGCCTTTTGGACATTAGACATTATTAGCTGCCTTTGTCTTCTTCACTTTCTTCTATTACCTCCTTTTTTGACAGTATGGGCAACATACCTTATATTTTCCTTTGCCTGACCAGTGACATTGAGTAGATTTTCATAGACTAATTGGCCATATAAATTCCCTCTTCCATGAATATTTTCTCTTAGGAGAATAGGATTTCAATAGGTAGAAAGGTGTGGGAGAGGAAGCAGGATGAGACATAATGGGAAGAGAACTAAAGTGAAAGCAGGGCATATCCAGGGAAGCTGTGGAAAGACTGTGGCAGGAGATACAGCTGGAAATTTAAGGAGCAGCCAGCCCTGGAAGCCTTACACCCCAGTACTGCTCAGATTTTCCCCTGTGGGCCAAGATGAGGTCGAAGGGTTCTCTTCTGAGAAATAATGGTGGCTTTAGAAGAGTAGAGGTGACAACAGGTAACTGGTGACAGAGAAACTGGATCAGTTTAGTGAAGGAGTGAGGTACTGAGGACCTGACTAGGTTAGTGGCAGTGTGACTGGGAATTGTGAATGGGGACATTGACAGGATATGAAGCAGGGGCAGGAGGGACACAACTGTAACTGTGGCTTGCTGTCCTGGTTATTTGTGAACACCAGGAGAAGCAGGGAAGGGACAACTTATTAACGAAATGTTTGCTGATTGTATCTTCTAAGTAGTTCTCTGGCATAGAGGTTATCCTCTTTAACAACTAGGGACATCAAGCTTGGATAATTACCTAAGAGAAGCTAGTTTGGAGGGAAAAGAATAAATGTAAGACTTCTTTAGTTTTAGAGACTGGTGCCAATGTGGCTCTTGCACAGGGGCCTTGAGTTGTTTTATCTGTTCTTCACCAGTTACATCAGGACCAGGGCCTTTCCATCGTGGAAAGTACCTGTGCCAAGGGCTCATAGAAATACTTGAGAACTCAGCAGAGTATTAATATTGGCTCCAAAATTATGAAGACTATAAAAATCAGAATCAATAAATGCTTAATTCAGTGTTTGTAAAATCTAACATTAGGTTAGATTTTTTGTTTACTTTATAAGAATTTTCTATTATGCACATATTCAGTTTACATTTAACCAAATAATTATAAGAAAGTATACATAGATATGTGTATTTCTATATTTTCATATACATATATAATAAATAATAGAATATTCATAAATATAACAAATAATTTAAAGACACTTAACTATGCAATTTCCTTTAATCCTCAGGACAACTTTATGTGATAGATCTTATTATCTCTACTTAATGAGTGAGGAAACTAACTCTGAGATGAGTTGCCTGATTTCACAGTTAGTAACAGCAAAGCTGAGATTCAGACCCAGACAGCCTAACTCCAGAACTGAACTTGTAATACCTTGAGAATGAGCCTGTTCTCTGACAAAGGAAATAGAAAAATGGTAAGTGCCAAAGATAAAATCATAAGGAATACCTACATTTTCAGAAGAGGTAAGAGAAGGAAAGGAAGTAAATGGTTCAAGAAGTGGCAGATAATGTGGGCTTGGGTCATAAGGTTAGAGGTGGGGAGAGCCTCAGGAACCAAGAGAGCAGTACTGCCCAGGGCCACTGAGTAGAGTGATCAGTGAGGAAGACAAGCCTTGGATGTTCACAGTATGGAAACACATCTGTCCTTGGGGAACTGTTTCAATAAAGTGGATACAGTGGAGGTAAGACTGTATAGTGTCCTTAGTGGGGAGCTCATGTGTAGAAGCTGAGGATTTTTGTGAGTACACATCCAAAGACATACACACCTTCCTCCACCTGGACAGGTGCAAGTAAGCATCTGCCATAATTTCATAACTTGTTGCCTTCTGCTTATCTGGTACATGGACTCCAGCCACAGAGGATTTCTGCTTTCCTCTTAGCCTGGCTGTGACTGTGGCCAAAGCACTGTCTCTTGAGGACCCAGACTTTTCAGACTGAAATTCTGGGTTCCCCACGCTGGGATTAAAAAGATCAATGTGGGAGCCAAGTAGGGGCGGGGGTGGGAGGGATAGAAACAGCATGCTGCATCACTGTATTAGTTTCTAGGGGCTGCTGGAACAAATTACCAAAAACTAGGTGGCTTAAACAACAGAACAATATTTTCTCACAGTTCTGGAGGCTTCTGAGTTTTCAGTCTAGGTGCTGGCAAAGTTGTTCTTTCTGGAAGTTCTGAAGAAGAATCTGTCCCATGCCTCTTTCTAGTTCCTGGTGTTTGCCAGCAATCTTTGGCATCCTTTGGCTAGTAGATGTTTCATTCCAGTCCCCGTGTCCTCTTCTCATAGTATTCTCCCCTGTCTATTTGTGTCTCTGTCCTCGTCTTATGGGGACACCAGTCATTAGATTAGAGCCCCCTCAAATCCAGCATGACCTCATCTTAACTTGCTCATATCTGCAAAGACCCTATTTTCAAATAAGGTCACATTCACAGGTTCTGGGGCTTAATACCTAAACATGCTGTATCTCTTTGGGGACACAGTCTTCACTTCTGTTTGTTTCCTTTGGTGACAAAAAAAAGTATTGCGCCCTTTTAGTTTGACCCCAAGAGTTTAAGAGTACAGAGTGCTATGGGGTCTCCTAGATTGGAGACACTGCCACCCCTGGTGAGTGCCGGAGTCATTTCACAATGCCAGACTTGCCAGGGTGAAGGAAGAATTGCCTTGGTTAGTGGAGGAATGACCTGATTTGTTTGTTTATCTGTTATTCACCAAGCTGAATCTTTGCTTTCTCTTTGCAGAAGCCCATAGCCATGGCGACCCCCTCAGCTGCCTTTGAGGCCCTTATGAATGGAGTGACAAGCTGGGATGTCCCGGAAGATGCCGTCCCGTGTGAACTGCTTCTTATTGGAGAGGCTTCCTTCCCAGTGATGCTGAATGACGTGGGCCAGGTCCTCATTGCTGCGTCCTCCTATGGCCGAGGCCGCCTGGTGGTGGTGTCCCATGAGGACTACTTGGCGGAAGCCCAGCTCACTACCTTTCTCCTCAATGCAGTGGGGTGGCTTTGTTCTTCCCCTGGGGCTCCCGTAGGTGTACACCCATCCCTGGCACCTCTGGCCAAAATCCTCGAGGGCTCTGGAGTGGAGGCGAAGCTTGAGCCGGAAGTGAAAGACTCCCTGGGGGTTTACTGTATTGATGCCTACAATGAAACCATGACTGAAAAGTTGGTCAAGTTTATGAAACATGGAGGAGGTTTGCTCATTGGAGGCCAAGCCTGGGATTGGGCCAACCAAGGCGATGATGAAAGGGTTCTGTTCACATTCCCTGGGAACCTCGTGACCAGTGTGGCAGGCATATACTTCACTGACAACAAAGGAGACACAAGTTTCTGTAAAGTGTCTAAGAAGATGCCCAAGATTCCAGTCTTAGTTAGGTGAGTACATTACCTCAGTGGGGATTGGGCCCAGGTTAAAAAACAGACACTGTATTTGTGTTCAGGTTATTTCTAGACCATCAGAAGAGAATTTGGCAGATTCGCCATAAATCAACCAGATTTTTAAAATATTCTTAGTCACAAGAAGGGCAGGGTCTCCATTGCAGCTGCCTCCTCAGACCAGACCACTTATCTCTTTGAGGGGAGAGATTTCTTAGTGACCATTATGTCCCTCAGCGTCTAGCTTAATAAAATATATTGCTGAATCCTAGAATTGGCATGACAGATTTGGAAAGGTTCATAGAAGAAGGTTGCTTACAACTGAAATGTGAAGAAAAGAAAATGGACAAGAGGGACCCCATAAAACAGTGTAGAGCAGCAGTGGCTAACCGATAATCGATCCCGGGACCACTGGTGGTCCGTGAGCTCTGAAAGGTTGGCAACTGCTGGTCTAGAGATCAGTGGCAAAGATTTTTAAATGTCTGCCCAGGTGAGATTAGGATGGCAGTTAGAAGCTGAGATAGCAGAAAAGATGGCACCAGTGATGTATGCTGTATCTATTATAGGAGTTAGGAGAGGATTTTATCTCTGGTGACAAAAGACCTGATGGTGGAAATGAAGGAGGTACATGATGGGTCAAAGACAGCTACACTGAAAGTCTTTGAGAGCACTGCCCTGCCTGTTCTGTTCACACTGTGCTCCCACCCCTCTGACAGTGCTAAACAGAGTAGGTTGTTTGGTGGTCGGTAAACTTGTATTGGATGGATGACTGAAAGAGATTAGAATTCGAAGTCCCAGGAGTAGGAAAGGTGTACCAGGCCACACCCTATATTGTACATTAAAATTCTCAGCAGAGGTATTTCTGACCAATAGGAACAGAGTAAGATGTGATTGGGCGAGGAGGGCACACAGGGTTAGTAGAGAGACAGGGAATGAGTGTCCTGGCATAGAATTCCTATTACACCCCCAGCTCCATTCTCACATGTGCAATGAGGAGAGACACAGTTATTCAGAGGCATAGTAACTGATTAAATTGTTCAAACTTCAGTTTACCAATGATCTTGATCCAAAGGAATGGGAAGGTAAGACTTGATCATAGTTCTATTTCTTACCAGCTTAATCCCCCTTGTTGCCTTAAAAGATGTATTTCTCTACCAAAACCATGCTTCTTTTTTCTTTAGCTGTGCCTAAATCATCTCTCGTCATCGGTGATTCTAATTTGGGGCTGGTTGAGTTGTCTGTCTGTGTATGTGTGTGTATATGCAGACATGTGTTTGCGCATAGGTGAAATCAACTTGAAGACTAACTGTTGAGAAAAAATCTGACTTAATTAGGGAAATATATAGAATCTATTGTGGAAATTATGGGTTGTTATATTGATTATTTATTAGGTAAGATTACATCACACCTTTTGACTCTGGTTATACAGGTAGGTATATGGTAGCATCACTTATATGGTAGATGGGTAATTTTTTGATTTGTGTATGAATTGAGAATGACAGTAGTGATTTTCCTGAGTGAACTGGCTGAGAAAAGTAAACAGAAGAAAATAAAAGATACAATGAGTGTGTGTGTGTGTGTGTGTGTGTGTGTGAGAGAGAGAGAGAGAGAGAGAGAGAGAGAGAGAGAGAGAGAGAGACAGGTATGAAATAATTATTATAACAATTTATAGTTGATATTAGAGAAAATGAGAAAACAATCCTCTCCTTTTCTCCACAGTTTTCTTAATATTAGCTCTCAAGTGCCCAATGCTGAAATATAAGCATTGAGCTATTTTTCTCCCACCTGGTGTTGTGGGGGGAAAACTATGCATTTTTCAAAATTCATTAAATTGTACACCTATGTTGAGATAATTTTACTTTATGTAAAGTGAAATTGCAATAAACCTTTAAAAATAGGTTCTTTTAATAGCACTTTGGAAAATAAATAATCAGGATGTAATGAGATTTCTATATAAGGATATGCAATTCAGCATTATTTATAATAGGGAAGAGTGGAATGGCTAAGTAAATTACAAAATTATTAACCAACCACCAAAAATACATGTTTCCAAGAATAGTTAAGGACATGGAAAAAATCTTTTGGGGAACACTACTAAATGAAATAAAATAGGATACTAAACTGTTGTTCAGTATGTTCCTAATTTTGCTAAAAACATATGGCTATATTTAGAAAATATTATATAAGAAAAAGGCCAAAATATCACTAGTGGGTAGATCTTTTGAATCTATATATATAAAAGCCTAAGCGACCGTTTGACCATTAACTATGACATGCACTGACCACCAGGGGGCAGATGCTCAATACACAGGCATGAAAACATGGAACAGACTGATGAATCTCAGAGAGAAGTAGGGGGGGCGGCGGGCAGAGAGATTAACCAAAGATCTTATATGCATAATAGAGGCCTGGTGCATGGATAAATAGGGCACATATACAACTCTAAAGATTATATAGAATGAAAAATACCTATGAGCAGAATTCAAAATAGCATGCATACCAAGATGACAACAATGTATAATTATGAATGAAAGGGGGAAATAATATGTAAAAACGAAAGAGTTGTATTGTGTATTTAAAATGTAATACTTGTAAAAATATATCTTTACAGAGCAGAAGGGAGAGGAAGAAACATCAATGATCAGAGAGTATCATTGAGTGGCTGCCTCCTTCACTCCCACTACTGAGGATCCAGCCCTCAACCTGGGCATGTGTCCTTGACCCGAATCAAACCCTTCAGTCTGCGGGCTGACACTCTATCCACTGAGCCAAACCAGCTAGGGCAATCCAGCAACATTTACTAGTAAAAAGTAGTTTAAAATAATATCACATGAAGAATCATGATTCAAAAATATTAGTAATATATATACACACATCACATACAAATATCATACACATATACAACATATTTTATATATAATACCATACACACACACACAAATATATATAACATCTTTCTCTATATAAAAGCCTAAGTGACCACTATGACCGAATGACAGGATGACCAGCTGGTATTTATGCTGTGCACTGATCCAGACCTTGCTGCTGGGGCCCTGACAGTCCAAATCTGGTTCACCCAAACCCTGGATCCAAACAGGAAAGGGGAGGAGGCTGATTCCTTGCAGAAGCGACCATTGGTTAGCTTGCTGACTGCCTCAAATCTGGTTCACCCGCACTCTGGACCCAGACAGGAGAGAGGAGGGAGACCCATTTATCGTGGAGTTGGCTGTTGGTTAGCTTGTTGCTGGGGCCAACCTCCCACGGTGCCTCCCTCCAGCAGGCCAGCTCCCCTGATAGCTGGCCAATCTCCCACTGCCCATGGTTGAGCACTTGGATCTCCCTCCACTCCTGTTGTGATAGGTAATACTATACAAAATATATTCAAAGCATTTTAAAAATATTAGATAAGAGAAGACAGCAAGATGCCTCTCTCAGAATTCAAGAAGAAAGATTATTTCTATTATAAGCCGAGTGAGGTTACGATTAAAAGCCCCTGTGGATTTAGTTACTCTGCCAAAGTGTCTGTCCTCTTATTTATTTTTAAACCCTCATTTGGACATATGAGTGCACATTGACCTTTAACCTTTAATCTCATTACTTGCACATTTCTTACTCAGTTAAATTCTAAACAAGAACTTGTGATTATCTCAACTTTCTAAAATTAGAATCCACGGGTCTTATTAAGATGAGTCAATTTTTAACAGAAGAAGCTCCTACTTTTATGATCAGAAAAAATAAACTATCCTATTTAATAAAGAGGGAATATGCTAATTAGCCCTTACAACATCACAAATATGGCAGCACTCACAGCCAATAAGGAGGGAATATGCTAATTGACTGTCCTGCCCTCAAAGATGTTGGTGCCCACAGCCAATAAGGATGATCTGCGTCTTAGTTGATATTTATAAAAGCGTTTGCTTCTACCACTTGGGGAGCTCCTGTGTTCCTTAATGATTCATATGAAGTATCACCTCCTCCAGACACTGCTCCCTCCTCTCCTATTCTAATATACTAATAGATGCTTCTTTTCCAGGAACCCATAGCAACAGGATGCTCTAGGACTTACCACAGCTGAGAATTGGTTTACTTATGTTTCTCCCAGGATTGATTGCATGCTTCTTTCCAGAGGAACTTTCCCTCCCCAACTTCACAACATTGTGTTGTTGGTTCTGTGGTTGTTTTAAATTCTGTTTGCCTTAGTATCACTCTGTACTCATGGACCGCCCCCCTCCTCCTCCTTTTTTTTTTTTTTTTTAAGAAAGCAAATGTATTATAATTCATTTATAATTGGTATTCTTTGAAGGTCCAATTGTCCCAAATTTGGCAAGTAAAAGCCCCACTCAGATGAGCCCTGAGTCCTCTGACACACCCCATCAGTTTTCAGTTACTGACACAACAAGTTGTTGCAGGTTTACCTGGTCCTCTTCCTGTCCAAAACCTAGATTCAGCCGTTGCTTCAAGGAATCCTGATCCTTTTAGTGGTGAATAGTATTTAGAAACCAAGTTCATCTATGTGTGCTCATTGCCATTGTGCTGTCATCGTTTCTGGACCCCTAAAAAAACAAAGCCAAGAAATATATAGGTTTTAATCCTGAATCTATACTAATACCCCAAATTTTAATCCAAAACCACAGAATTCTTCTTTTCTTTCACCTGCTCCATGTTTGTATCTTCCTCTGTTATAGTGAGAACACTGGTTTCCAGCAACGTCATTATGTACTCATTTCCTCAGTCTGTACTGCACACAAAAAAACTTACTACTCCCCTACTATTACCAGCAGCAAACTCACTAAGTTAAGTTCAGGATTTTTTTGTAGTTAGTTCCCAGAATATTCTACATAGAGCATAGAAAATACTCTATTCAAAATTACTTGAATTGTTTTTTCATTTGGTCCTATTTTTGTTTAAAGTGAGTTTTCCACCATATTTATTGATTCAATTTTAATTTTAGAATATGTAAACTTTAAATAAGGTTACAACAGCAGAATGTATATTCTTCTTAAATGCATGTGAAATATTCAGGAAGCAAGACCATATATTATGCCATAAAAATGTCTCAGCAAGAGTAAAAGGATTTAAATCATGCATTGTATACGCTGATCACAATGGTATTAAGTAAGAAATCAATAGCGTAAACATATATGTAATACCTAAATATTTGTAAGTTAAAAAACATAAATACTCTGTAAGTCAAAGAAGAAATTACAAAGGGTATTAGAGAATATTTTGAACTGAATAAAAATGAAAACACAGCATGCCAGAATTTATGGAATGCAGTTAAAGCAGTGCTTAGAGAGAAATTTAAATGCTTTTATTAGAAAAGTGAAAAATTTAAACTCGGGGCCTAAGTTTCCATACCAAAAAGCTAAAAAAAAAAGAAAAAAAGGAAAATCAAATTAAACCCAAAATATGTGGAAGAAATAAGAAGATAATCAAAATAAAAGCAAAAATCAATGAAATAGGAAATAGAAATACAATAGAGGAAACAAAACCAAAAGCTGATTTGTAGGGGAAAAAAACATGTTAAATTTCTAGGTATACTGGTTAGGACAATAATAGAGATAACACAAATTATAAATTCTAGGGATGGAATAAAGGACATTAATACAGACATTAAAAGGATAATAAGGAAATATAACAACTTTATGCCAATAAATTTGACAACTTGGATGAAATGGGCAAATTTCCTAATAGACAAAAACTATTAAAATTGACAAAAGAGTTGAACTGTAATTAAAAACGTTTCAATACTAAATTCAATGTGGTAGCCTGGATTGAATCCTAGAAAACATTAATGGTAAAACTGGTAAAATTTGTGTAAAGTCTAGACTTTAGGTAACAGTATTTTACCAACATTAACTTCCTAGTTTTGATAAATGTACTATTTATACTAATAAAAGCATAATATGTCCATTAGACAGGAATGCTAATGGATAAATTTAACAAAATATGTTACTGTACCTGTATGTTGAAAACTACTAAACATTATTGAGACAAATTTAATAAAACCTAAAGAAATGGAAAAATATACCATGTTAATGTATTAGAATACTCAATATTTTAAACTATGGTGGTTTTGGCATAAGGATAGATATACAGATGAATGAAACAGACTAGATATTTAAAAAATAGACCCACAGTTTTATGCTCAATTATTTTTTGGCAAGGTGCTAAGAATCTTTTCAACAGATGGTTGAGGGGAAAAATAAATCTTGAAATGTATCCCACTCCATACATAATAATAATTAAAAATGAATCTAGACTAAATGCAGAAGCTAGAATTAACTGTTTTTCAGTGTTTCTTTGCAGCTTCCTTCTGACAATACAGTTGCCACAGCCTTACCTATCATAAGTGATACAACCAGCTCTGGATCTCAGCTTATAGAGGTCACTCTGCCCCCATATTCCCTAATAACCCCATAGGCTGCATCTCCATTTTGGGCAGGAATAGATGGTGCTCTGAAAAAACATATAGCATGGATATGCAGCAGTCCTGTGGACTGGCAATTAATGGGTGAAGAGCTGGAGTAGCAGTCAGTCTTCTTGGGTTCAGGTAACAGGAGGGTCTCACTAGAATTTAGGCCAGTCAGCTCCCCTGGCCCACATCTATATACTATATATAAAAGGCTAATATACAAAGTGTCCTCTCTAGTGTTCGCCCAGGAGACTGTGAGTTCGATCCCTCACTATGACATGTGCTGATCACCAGGTAGTGGTGCGGAATGAAGGAAGGCCCCAGCCAGCAGCCATAAGGAAGGCCCCAATTGGCCGGGATCACCAGCCAGGCCTACGGACCCTACCCATGCACGAATTTCGTGCAATGGGCCTCTAGTTTTGAGATAATAGTGATTCTAACAGCACCATTAACTCAGCTGTCCATTGAGGGTTTTTTTGCAGAAAATTAATAGCATGAAATTTATAAACAAAACTCCTTATAAGAATGAAAAGATGTTTTCCAGTCAGTTCTCTCTTTTTTTTTTTTTTTTTTTTTTTGTTTGTTTAATATATTTTTATTGATTTCAGAAAGGAAGGGAAAGGGAAAGAGAGATAGAAACATCAATAATGAGAGAGAATTATTGATCGTCTACATCCTGCTCATCACCCACCGGGGATGGAACCTGAATCACGAACATGTGCTCTGACCAGGAATGGAACCCTGACCTTCTGGTTCATAGGTTGACACTCAACCAGGCCAATTCTACATATAATGCTTAAAGGGCACTTTTAACACGTAAATCCAGAATATTTCACATATAGTGCTGGGTAAACACAGCAAGGCTTTTTTCAAGATTTCCTTTGGAGAATTTGTACCTAGAGATTAAGCAGAGCAGAATTATTGCTGAGTCCCTCTGTCTTCCCTCAAAGGAGTCTCCATACCCAGTGAGGTCAGATCTGCCCACTAGATTCTCTGGCTCTCCTGAAAGAGCTAAGAATGATATTAATAAAGCTGACTCTTGCTATATATGCCAGGCGTTGTTCCAGAGTTTTCTGCAGAGCCTCTCCTTTAAGAGAACACTTGTCTCTTTTGCAGTTGTGAAGACGATCTCTCCGAGGACAGAGAGGAGCTTCTGCATGGGATTTCTGAGCTGGACATCAGCAACTCGGATTGTTTCCCATCTCAGCTGCTAGTGCATGGCGCTTTAGCCTTTCCCCTGGGGTTAGATTCCTACCACGGCTGTGTTATAGCGGCTGCTCGCTATGGCCGGGGCCGGGTGGTAGTGATGGGCCACAAGGTATTATTCACTGTGGGTAAACTGGGCCCCTTTCTGCTCAATGCCGTGCGCTGGCTTGATGCGGGCCGCCGAGGCAAGATTGTGGTGCAGACAGAACTAAGGACAATGAGCGGCCTGCTTGCAGTCGGGGGCATAGATACCAGCATTGAGCCCAATCTAACCAGTGATGCGAGTGTCTATTGCTTTGAGCCCACCAGTGATGTAGGAGTCAAGGAGCTGCAGGAATTTGTAGCTGAGGGTGGGGGCCTGTTTGTTGCAGCCCAAGCCTGGTGGTGGGCCTTCAAGAACCCCGGAGTGTCCCCTCTGGCTCGGTTCCCAGGGAACCTCCTGCTCAACGCCCTTGGCATCAGTATCACAAGCCAAAGCCTCAATCCTGGGCCCTTTCGTACTCCAAAATCGGGGATAAGGACCTATCACTTCCGCTCCACTTTGGCTGAGTTCCAGGTTATAATGGGCAGGAAGAGAGGGAATGTGGAAAAGGGATGGTTGGCAAAGCTGGGGCCAGATGGCGCAGCTTTCCTGCAGATCCCCGCAGAAGAGATCCCTGCCTATATGTCTGTACATCGGCTCCTCAGGAAGCTGCTGAGTCGATACCGGCTCCCAGTGGCGACCCGAGAGAACCCAGTCATCAATGACTGCTGCAGGGGTGCTATGCTCTCCCTGGCCACTGGTCTGGCACACTCTGGGAGTGACCTCTCTCTGTTAGTCCCAGAAATTGAAGACATGTACAGCAGCTCCTATCTGCGCCCCTCTGACTCTCCTATCACCGTTCAGGTCAACTGCAACAATCCAGGTATGGTATTAGGGGTGGGAGCTCAGGGTTGGGGGACTGAGACATGATGACTTAGCTCACTTCAGGGACCTGGTCACCTCCAGAAGGCCATCTTCACCCTTTGCCATGCACTTTTAAGGAGATAGGGATTAGGAATTTAGTAATGTTTGTAAGAGTTGAGTCAGGACAGCAGATAGGAAAGATGTACAGAGCTCATGAAGGGCTGTGGAGATTCTGGGTGGAGATGGGATTATGGAGAGGGAGTAAAATCCTTCCGTGCTTTTGACAGGCACACGATATTGCTGGATGAGCACTGGGCTGTACATACCTGGAAGGCAAATTATAGAGGTCTCACTGCCTGAAGCTGCTGCTTCTGCTGACCTGAAGGTAAGGCCACACCCCTCCTCCCCAGGAATCATGGAGCCCAAATGTTCTTGCTTTCACAGTTGGCATCTTGATCCTCATAAAAACTCTATTGGCAATATGGGACATGTACTTTTACCCCCATTTGAAGGATGAGGCAACTAACATGCAGAACAGTTAAGTGATTGATTGAAATGTATAGACCTGATATATTTCAGAGCTAGGGCTCAAACCTAATCACCTCCTCACCCTGAAGTTTTGTGCATTTCACTGATATCGTAGAGTAGGGTAATAGGAAAGGTGCCATGTGGAAGGTGCCCTAGCACACAGTGGTATTCAGTAAACTTTGGTTCACTTCTGTCTCCATATGCATCTCCCTCTGTAGCATGAGGCCTTTCTGACTCCAGTTTCTTCCTGGGATACCAAAGACTGTTCCTTGCTATCCCTAGACTCCCTCTTGCACATACACATACTCTAGTCACATATTAAGTTCCGGTACTGCTCTTTTTCCCTTGAGGGTCTCTGTGACAGGACTTATTCTGTACCTGCATTTATCCTAGAGTTTGATTAGCATAAACCCAAGAAAACAATTCTAGGACTCCACCAAGGACAAGGGTCACTCCATTGGCTCTGGAAGGGGGGTCTTATAGATTGGAACTGAGTCAATCCTCTACCACATCAGCCTGTCACACTAGTTGCCACTGGGCCTCCTCTGCAGTCAGCAAAAGACTATCCCTTCCATCCCATTGCCAATACTAGAGTCCCCATTGTGGAACACTTGGTGCCCCTCGCATCAGCATCTCAACATCACGTTAGAGCTCTTTTGACTCCCCCAGGAGGATATTTTCACACCATTCAGTCCATACCACCTACAGAATGATGCAATTCCATAGGTTTAGCACACACGGTTCATGGACATGGGGTCATATAGTCTGGTGCCCTTCCTGTCCCCACCTCATGGGCTTTATTCTCTTCCACTGCATGCACCTGAGGTGACTCTGGGGGCGGGGGGAATATCTCTGTTCCAGGTACAGATTGGCTGCCACACAGATGACCTGACCAGGGCCAGCAAGCTGTTCCGAGGCCCACTGGTAATCAACCGGTGCTGCTTGGACAAGCCCACAAAATCAATCACCTGCCTCTGGGGCGGCCTCCTCTACATCATCGTGCCTCAGAACAGCAAGCTGGGTTCGGTGCCCATCACTGTGAAGGGGGCTGTGCATGCTCCATTCTACAAGTTAGGTGAGTGTGGGCTATGGAGTGAACCCTGGGGACAGGAGAGTTGGGAGTGAGGAGGACAGTGGGACTGTTTGGTACAGGAAGAGAAAGGTTCAGATTGGAGGAAAGAAGAAAGGTAAGCCTCCTTAAATGCAGCTTTGGGGCCAAGGAGATAGACCAACCCACATCCATGGGGATGCCATAGAAGAAGGATGGAGATGGGGACCTGGTTGTTCATGGCCTTGGTGTTCTCCTCCTGGGTTTCAAGTTAGGTGTTTTAACCTAAGGGATTTGGAAAAGAGCATTGGCAATGGCCATCCCATTGCCAATACTAGAGTCCCCATTGTGGAACACTTGGTGCCCCTCGCATCAGCATCTCAACATCACGTTAGAGCTCTTTTGACTCCCCCAGGAGGATATTTTCACACCATTCAGTCCATACCACCTACAGAATGATGCAATTCCATAGGTTTAGCACACACGGTTCATGGACATGGGGTCATATAGTCTGGTGCCCTTCCTGTCCCCACCTCATGGGCTTTATTCTCTTCCACCGCATGCACCTGGCCTCTCTTCTCAGGGGAGACAACCCTGGAGGATTGGAAGAAGTGTCTCCAGGAGAATCCAGGTCCCTGGGGAGAGCTGGCTACGGACAACATCATCCTGACAGTGCCAACTGCCAACCTTCGCACACTGGATAATCCTGAGCCGGTGCTTCGCCTCTGGGATGAGGTGATGCAGGCTGTGGCAAGGCTGGGGGCCGAGCCCTTCCCCTTGCGTCTGCCTCAGAGGATTGTTGCTGATGTGCAGATTTCAGTAGGTGGGTGCCCTGTTCCCAGTAGCCCTGTGGGACTTCTTTCTCCTAAAGGCCATGCAGAGTAAGCTTTTCTAGCAAGACAAATATGATTTAATCCTTGCTAAATGAAAAGGAAAAAATGTGTATTAAAAAAAATAGACTCAGTGACTTTCACAAAATTTGGAAACTACCTACATGTACAACAATTATGGAATGGATAATTAATAAATTGTGTGTAACCTCCAGAGACATTGAGGAAGACGTTTAAAGTGGTATTTTTTATGGTGTTTTACCAGTGGGCCAGGAGGCCTAAAAAATTTGGGGTGGGAAGGGGGCCATCTATAGAAATTAAATAAGCATGGACATTATTCTAGACTCTAGATTTTTTTGGCTTACAATCACTATACAGTAATATTAATGTGGGCAACTCCACATCTAAATAACAAGAAGGGAACATCCTCAATGAATTCTTAATTTTGAGAAAAGAATACAATGACACAGGTTCCCAGGGATAGGACATTCTCATAAACATAGAATTCTTGAGTAGTAACATGAACAGTGATTTGGGACCTGCATCACCTCCCATAAACACATGCTCTCAGGTCAGAGTGAGGATGAGGGATTATTACAGAGTGAGAGGATAAGGAGGAAAGCCCAGGAGGATCTGGATTTGGATTGACTTTCTGAGCAGTACAGGAAGTCATCAGGGTTACTAAGTATTTTGGGAGATTCAAAACAGAGAACTTTGTAAGATATGTGGGGAATGCTCTAACCCTCCACCTCCCTCCTCTATTTTCAGGCTGGATGCATGCAGGGTACCCCATCATGTGCCACCTGGAGTCAGTGCAGGAGCTCATCAATGAGAAACTCATCAGAACCAAGGGGCTATGGGGACCTGTCCATGAGCTCGGCCGCAACCAGCAGCGGCAGGAGTGGGAATTCCCACCACACACCACCGAGGCTACCTGCAACCTGTGGTGTGTTTATGTGCACGAAACGGTCTTGGGCATTCCTCGAGGCCGTGCCAATATTGCCCTGTGGCCCCCAGTACGGGAGAAGAGAGTCCGAATCTACCTGAGCAAGGGTCCCAATCTGAAAAACTGGAATGCATGGACAGCACTGGAAACATATTTACAGGTAATTAGGCAAAAAGGACGAGTGATGGGAACCCCTTATTCTGGGGATACCAGAGCATCATTATTAGGTGATGTTCATGTAACCCAGACCTCCCACTACACCTGCCTCCCATGTTAGGCCTCAGGAGACCCTGACAAAGCCCAGTTGTGACAGTCCTATTAGATGATGCCTCTCAGTATATCATTTTGCATGATCCTAAGTAGAGTTACGGTAATCGCCTTAGCCCCACCCTCACCCTATGAACTTGAAGAGATGCATGAGAATAGACAGGAAACACTGAGAGAGGTGAAAACATGGTAGAGGCATGTGTATTGCTATAACAAGTTACTATCACAGGCTTTAGATCCAGACATAACTGAGATTGACACCAAACTGCTATTTAATAGCTATCTATAACCAAACAACCTCCCCCCACACACACACACACACACAAAAAAAATATGGGATAGGATCTATTTTTTTCCTCAAATGAGTATACCATCTTTTCTTTTTTCTTTTTTTTTAATATATTTTATTGATTTTTTACAGAGAGGAAGAGAGAGGGATAGAGAGCTAGAAACATCGATGAGAGAGAAACATCGACCAGCTGCTTCTTGCACACCCTCTACCGGGGATGTGCTCACAACCAATGTACATGCCCTTGACCGGAATCGAACCCGGGACCTTTCAGTCCGCAGACCGACGCTCTACCACTGTGCCAAACCGGTTTCGGCAGTATACCATCTTTTCAATATGACTTGGCTGTGCCTGTTTCCACCTTATAGGCAATACAAGATTTCTCCCTGGCCTGGACATGGAGGTTCTCTTTGCCTTGAATTATTATTCAAACACCCCAGTTCTGCCCCTGAGTCCCTGGATTAGTTCCCAGTTCATTGTGGAGAGTTTCATCACTTTGAATTCTGGAACTTAATCCCAGACCAGTCAGACTGTAGTCTGGTTTGTCCACCTGCTCCAGTTTCTCTGTTTATTCTGATGGTCTTTAGAATGACAGTGAAACTGCCTGGGGGACTCTGCTTAAACTTGTTATTAGGGCCACTTCACCCCAGGGACAGAAGTTCCTCATCTGTGAAATAAAGTTGAGGTTGTTCTAGGGAATTGCTAATATCTCTTTTCATGCTAAAGCTCTATAACCCAGCCCAACACGGGCTATTTCCAATGGCCTTAGGTGGGTGCCTTTCTGAAATGATACTCTTAACTCTAGCTACCTAGAATATACATATATATAGTATCCTGCTTCTACAGAGTCATTTTTCTCCCCCAAAGGCCTTGTAAATTGACAAAGACCTATGATTAATGAGGATTATTAGAAGCCCGGTGCATGAAATTCATGCACTGGAAGGGAGTGTCCCTCAGCCCAGCCTCCACCCTCCAGTCGGGGACATCCCTCTCACAATCTAGGACTGTTGGCTCCCAACCACTCACCTACCAGATTTCCCCTAATCACTTCTGCCTGCTAGCCTGATCACCCCCTAACAATTCCCCTGCCAGCCTGGTCTTCCCAACTGTCCTCCCCTGTTGGCCCAGTCACCCCCAACTGCCCTCCCCTACCAGCCCTATCACCCCCAACTGCCCTCCCCTGCCAGCCCAGTTGCCTCCAACTGTCCTTCCCTACAGGCCTGATAGCCCCAATTGCCCTCCCCTGCAGGTCTGGTTGCCCCTAACTGCCCTCCTCTGCTGGTCTGATCACCCACAACTGTCCTCCCCTGCTGGTGATCTTGTGACCACATGGGAGTGGCCACCTTGTGCGAGGGTGTGGTAGTCAATTTGCATATTACCTCTTTATTATAAATCCAAAAATTGGGTTTAACTTTGCAACTATGAAAGATATAAGGATTTTTTCCCATGCCAGCCCATTTTAAAGTTTTATATGATATCCTAGTGAGATATTACATGATCTAGTGAAATATATGACTAATGATAGATTTAACTGCCTCAGCCCCACAAGCACACTACACAATAATTTATTGAGTATCTATTTTGTGCTGAGCACTGTGCTAGCTGAGATGCCCTTTTTTTTATTTCAGAGAAAGAGAGAGAAACATGGATTATTTGCTTCCTGGACACCCCCTACTGGGGATCAAGCCCACAACCAGGGCATATGCCCTGGTCAGGCATTGAACCGACCACCTTCTGGTGCTTGGGTCAACACTCAATCACTGAGCCACACTGGCCAGGCGAGAGGCCTGTCTTAAGATTCGAATATGAGAGAGTAGGGCATGAAGTCATCAGGTAAAACAGGGTCTGTCATAGCCATGCAATTAGTGTTGAAGGGGTTCAATGCAGTAAATTCATTTATCAGGGTGTTTGTTAGGTTTTCTTCTTGAAGACTACCTGTCTCAACCTGCCTCATCCTTCTCTTTTTCAGCTCCAGGAAGCCTTTGGTTGGGAGCCCTTCATCCGTCTCTTCACTGAGTACCGTAACCAGACCAACTTGCCCACTGACAATGTTGACAAGATGAATTTGTGGGTGAAGATGTTCTCCCACCAAGTGCAGAAGAATCTGGCTCCCTTCTTTGAGGCCTGGGCCTGGCCAATCCAGAAGGAATTGGCTACAAGCCTGGCCTATCTGCCTGAATGGAAGGAAAATATTATGAAGTTGTACCTCCTCACACAGATGTAAGGAGTGCCCAGCAAGGTGGCAGATAGGGAGGTGTGGGGAGGTAGACAGAGACAAGGATTCACTCCTCAACCTCTGTCTCTTAGGGCTCTAGCCTTGTCCTCTGGGCTCACTGCCCTGGTTCTCTCTCTAGAAAGTGGGTTAAAAACACAGTAAGAAAGTGGAATCAGAATTTTTCAGGGGCAAGGCCTTCTGTTTATGAGTCTTGTTCCATAGCTCTCTGCTATCAAATTCACTCCTGACCCTAATTGGGCCAGTTCTAAGAGCTTTGGTCCCTATGTCTATGCTAGCCCTTGGTTCACCATCATGGCCCACAGCCCATAGAGAGTAGTTCTCAGCCTGGCATCCTGACAACCCACTGTATTTTATTTCTAATGAGTTATTCCAAAAACCCTGACCATAGAACCCAAATGAAATACAAATTTATCATGATTTTCATAGCTCCCTGAGGACTCATATATTTTGTGTATTGGGTAGTTTTCAAAGAGCATGAAAAGTAATCTGGAGAAATAGAAAATATATTTCCTAAACTCTTAGGAAAGTTGTTTTATTTTGGTATTCTTATTTCTTTGTGTATATAGTGAGGATAAAAATTCCTACCCCCCCTCACCCCCCCCCCCCGGGGTTGTCATAGTGACTCAGTAATTCTGAAGAGGTTTGTGAATACAGTGCATGCTGTCCAAGGGATTGCTTGATTTGGGGTTGGTTCACAAAGTAGTGAGCTGACTACTTCTCGTAGCCTAGAGATTAAGATCATCATCTCTCACAGTTGACTCCACTGCCTCCAAAATCCTGGTTCTTTCACCTGTTAATTGTATGACTCTGGGCAAGTTCCTTAATTTCTCTGTCACTCAATTTCCTCATCTCTAAAATGGAATTGATTTCATAGGATTATTGTGAGGATTAAATTTTAATTCCTCTAAAAGTGATAAGAACAGTTAGCTGGCTGTTAGTAAGTACAGAGAAAATGTCAATTGCCATTATTATTATCTAACCAGAGGCCCAGTGAATAAAATTCATGCACTGGGTGGGGGGAGGGGGGGTGTCCCTTAGCCCAGTCTGCACCATCTCCAATGTGGGACCCCTCAGGGGACATCCCTCTCACAATCTGGGCTGCTGGCTCCTAACCACTTGCCTGCCTACCTACCCCTAACTGCTTCTGCCTGCCAGCTTGATCACCCCTAACCACTCCCCTGCCAGCTTGATTGATGCCTAATTGCTCCCCTGCCAGCCCAATCACCCCCAACTGCCCTCCCCTGCCAGCCCAGTTGTCCCCAACTGCCCTACCTGCTGGCCTGGTCCCTCCCCCTGCCAGCCTGGTCCCCCCCCCCCCACACCCCACTGCCCTCCTCTGTCAGCCTGGTCATCCCTAACTTCCCTCTCCTTTTGGCCTGGTCACCCCCAACTGCCCTCCCCTGCAGGCCTGGCCCCTCCCAATTACCCTCCCCTGCCAGCCTGGTCACCCCTAACTGCCCTCCCCTGCCAGCCAGGTCACCCCTAACTACCCTCCCCTGCTGGCCTGGTTGCCTCTAACTGCCCTCCCCTGCTGGCCATCTTGTGGTGGCTATCTTGTGCCTTGGGGGCAGCCATCTTATATGAGAGTGTAATGGTCAATTTGCATATTACTTCTTTATTATATAAAATTAACTCACTATCATTATGGACTTCACTTTTACAAATTCAGTGAAATTAATCCTATGCCCTCCTACACTTCCTACATCAACCCTCTGGGAGGAGTCTGGTAGGTTGCTGTATAATCTAAAGGAAGGGCTCTAAATTTACAGGGTTTTACAAGCTACTTAGGGTTTTGGTCTCTTTACTCAGTTCCATCGTTTAGGTAGAATTCCATCTTTGATTAAGTAAAGAGTGAAAGTTACTTATAAATTCAGGAAAATTCCAGGAAGATGCTTGTCTTTACCAAACAATGGGCAACTGGCTCAGTGTTGGTGTTTATCTTTCCATAGTGACACAGATTTCTATCATTGTCAAGAGTTACTTACTACGGTAGTTGGGCTGATAAAGTTCACATAATATAGAAATATTTACTTTGGAATAAGAGAACTAGAAATAACCAACTCAAATTTCACTTGATTACAGCACATTAAAAGATTTTCTTAAATGTTCTTCTAAACATATTCAGAAACCCCCATTTCCTTGTAGTTTCAACTAGAGTTGAGGATATAGGATTAACGTTGTGTACATCCATCCAGTTTTCTCTTAGCTCACTTCTTTTTATTTAGTTATTTTAATACACCATTTTATTTGCTTTATTGAAAATTGGGTGGATGCACAAATAATAAGATTTGACCTGGATGTTTTTCTTTGGATATTTTAAAATAAATTTTTATTGATTTCAGAGGGAAAGGGAGAGGGAAAGAAAGAGAGAAACATCAATGATGAAAGAGAATCATTGATCAGCTGCCTCCTGCACATCCCCTACTGGGGATCGAGCTGCAATCCAGGCATGTGCCCTTGACTGGAATCGAACCAGGGACTCTTCAGTCTGCAGGCCAATGCTCTTCCCACTGAGCCAAACCAGCAAGGTCTGGATTTTTATTATGTCCTTTCTCAATCATAGAAGCATTTTCTCTTATTTCATGAACATCTTTCATCTAGGTGCTTTAAACATAGATGTTGAATGTCCATAATTAAAATAATTGCTATCAACCCCTGACCAGTGGTTAGAGCATTGGCCTGCAAACCAATGGGTCAAATATCCAATTCCTAGTCAAGGGCATGTACCTCAGTTGCAGGCTCGATTCCTGGCCTTGGTCTGGGCACGCACAGGAGACAACCAATCGATGTGTCGCTCTCACATCAATGTTCCTCTCCCTCTCTTTTTCTCTCTCTCTCTCCTTCTCTGTGTCTCCCTCTTCCTTCCCCTCCCCCCCCCTCTCTAAAAAAATAAATAAATAAATCCTCACAGTAATCTTATAAGAAATTTACCAATCCTTTTTTAGGAGTGAGCAAACTGAATTTCATGGAGGGCAAGTGAAGTACATAAGGCTACATTGCCAACTAGTGATAGAGCTGGGATTTGAACCTGGGCATTCTTATTACAGTGGGTGTTAGTAACTACACTGCTTTGAATAACAAAATAAATGTTTAAATGAAGAAACCAACCAGAAAATAGATCTTTATGTCCCTACTTGCCAGAACTTTGGCTGTTTGTACTTGCTCCTCATCTAATTTTATAAGAAGAAAAAATCCCTTTGTTTATCTCAAATTCCAGTTTAAAGGAAGGACTTGAGGTAGGCTCCTGGAGTGCTTCCCAATAGACAAAGATGGGATGATCCCTTTAGTGTCGTCCAACTCTTTTTAGATTTCAGGTTATTCAGGTTTCAGTCCTTCCTTCTAGGGCACCATGAAAGCATCTATTAGCTTATTGGATTTTGAATAATGGGTTATTTTGATAAAGTGCCTGACTTCCCAAAGTCCCAGACATTGCATGTTCTCAGAAAGTAAATTAGATCTTCAGTTATTTAGAATAATATTTATATCTATTCTTGCCCGCTTTAATCCATTTTCATCAGTACAGCCTCGGGGATGTCTTAAAAATGCAGAACTATCCATACCACCTCCTTACTTAAAAGCTTCCAGTGCTACTTTGAATTTAAGATGATACAGTGAACATACAAGTTTACCTCTCCTCCCTCTACAGGCCCCACTGAAATTGAAGTGAAAGAAAACTGGAAGGCTTTTGGTTATGAATGAAGCAGACCTCAACACATTTCTGGAAGAGAGAAAGTGGATGAAGCATGAAAAAAGAATGAAAGAGAAGGTACCTTTCAGACAGAATATAAGCTGATCTGAGTAACATAACCACAGAGAGGCTTGGGCACCTGAAAAGTCTATCTCATAAAGAATTATACCAGTTGTAAAATTGAACCCCATCACATTCTACTCTAACCCTTGTGTATAGAATATAGTCAACTATTGGTACCAGTGAGAACTCTGTTGTTGCTATTATTGTTGTTGTTATTGTTGTTTATATAAAGGAATTGAATAAATTTCCTGAGAGAGGTAGAAGTTGGTGCTTCAGAATGAAATTTCTCTTTTTGTGGAAATAAGTGATCCCTTAGCCTACCAGCTAATTCTTTATTGACTATTGAAACTCCCCTACTTAAGTAACCAAGTGTTTCCCAGTCATAGAAGAAGCTTACTGGAAAAACAGACCAAACCACACAATGGCAGAGGAAACCCATATCAACTCCTATAAAAGTCAACAGTTATATTGATGCTTAAGTGCAAATGGTCAGCTAGGAATTCCCAGACATTGAGCACTGGGGTGGTGGCGGGGTGGGAAAGTGGAGGGAGGGCCAAGGGAGACGAGATGTATATAAGAAAAAATTACCAATTGGAAACAGGAGATTGGAAAACTGCACCCAATTCTGGAGGAAACAAAGTCAAAATTGAAAAAGTTACTTTAAAATCTAGTTATATCTTCAGAGAGATCTGAGGTATATTTGTAAGATGAAAAACAGGATGCTACAATGATAGGAAAAACTCTGAGAATAAGGAGAGCCCTTCAAAAATGAAATATTGTCAAAATACCCTTTAGACAAGCTAGAGATAAAGTTGATGTAATCTCCCTAGATATGGAGCAAAAATAAATAGCAGAAACTATGAAGAAAGGAAAGATCTAACCATTAGTGTGTGTGTGTGTTTAAGAGAAAACAGAAAATATAGTCAAAGAAAAAAAATAATTGAAGAACAGAAAGAACTAAGTCTCCAGATTCAGGGGGATCTAATAAAACCTACACCAAGACACAATTATGTGAAATTTTGGAATATTAAGGATACAGAGAAGACATTAAAACTGCCCAGAGAGAAAATAAAATTAGGTAATCATAATTAGCTTAGCCAAAAAGGAATGAGAAATAGACTAGGCAGCAGATTTTTCATCAGCAACACTAAAAGCTAGAAGCCGCCCTAACCAGTTTGGCTCAGTGGATAGAGCGTTGGCCTGCAGACTGAAGGATCCCAGGTTTGATTCTGGTCAAGGGCATGTACCTTGGTTGTGGGCACATCCCCTGTAGGGAGTGTGCAAGAGGCAATGATCCTCTCTCATTGATGTTTCTAACTCTCTATCCCTCTCCCTTCCTCTCTGTAAAAATCAATAAAATATATTAATTTTTTAAAAAGCTAGAAGCCAATGGAACAATGTCTCCACATACCTTATGAAAAATTTTGTACCCCGAATTCCATAGCAAGCCAAGCTGTTGAGTCAAGTAAAAACAAATATATTTTCTGACATGCAAGTTTTCAGAAAGTCTACCTTCTCTGCACCCTTACTGAAGAAATACCTTGAGGAAGTTCTCCAGCAAAATGAGGATGAGAACCAAGAAAGAAGAAGAATTAGAATCTAGGAAACAATGGACCTCATCCAGGTAGGAATGTCACTCTAGAGTGACAGTTATCCAATAGGATGTCTCACTCTAGAGTAGGGGTAGAGAACCATTTTTATGCCAAGGGCCATTTGGATATTTATATTGATAACATCATTCTTAGGCCATACAAAATGATCAACCTAAAAATTAGCTTGCTATATTTGGTCAAACATTTAATTAACTCATCCCTAATGTCTTGGCAGGGCCAGACCAAATGATTTCTTGGGCCTTATGTGGCTCAAGGGCTGGATGTTCCCCACCCCTGCTCTAGAGTAACTGTTATCCAACAGGATGTCTCACTCTAGAGTGACAGTTAGTTATCTAGCACACAGACCCTGTTCAGATGAGAGTACAGTCTCAAGCTCTCTTGGAAGAATATTCATTTTGTGCCAAGGATAGTATCACTGAGAAGCTACAATGTTTGAGAGTATTGAGTACATACATTCGTTAGTCAACAAAAAAGAAAACAAAACAAAAATATGTCAAGAAATTTAAGTCCATTGCTGAAATAACAACAACAAAAATACTCATGGAATATAAGAAGAGACTCAATTTGACATTGGTGGTGAGTATATTTCCTTTCAAATAATACAGGCATGTTATTGGATGTGTATGAAAAAAAATGTCCTAGCTTCTGTGTGGCTTTCAGTAAACAGTATTTATATAGCCAAAATAATATAGATGCTTTTTATAGGTTCTGATCATCCTATAGCCAAAACATGAAAGGCTTAATTTTTTTATTCAGAAATGAAATTGAAATTAACCCTGACAAGCTACAGAAAAAGAGATCAGAAAGAAGTTGAAAATTGGCTGTCTGAAAAGAGGTGGAAGGAAGAGTAGGGCTACACATATATTTAAAGTGGGGATGGAAAAAGAGTCTACAGTTAATGAAACAAGAACTGAAGGATTGGTATGTTGTTCAAAACTATAAATTAAACCAATAGAAGCATTAAAATGATAATTATAAAAAATTTGCAGAAAGATAAGCAAAGGAAAAGTGGGGATAGTTTAAGTTAAATCCTTATCTTTTGTAATGGTGTATTATTAAATATTGTCTAAAGTTAGTAAATCAAGAAATTATTGTTCAAGCATTATTTAATGTAGAAAGTTAGAATACCTAAAAATAGAAATTGTTACATGCATTGCCTCTAGGGAATGGGAGTAGGGTTAAAAAGGGTGGGGTGGGGTACTGTGTTTTTCATTTTAAGTCCTCTGTACTATTTAATTTTTTACCTTGTGCATGTATTACTTTGAAAATTTAATAAACTCAAATAAAAATTCTTAAGTGACTTCATATCAACTAAGCTATAATCCAACCAAAACTCTATCTGATCATAACATCATGATAGGAGCTGTTGACCTCAAAGAAACACAACTTTTGAGTATCTGTCCTCAAACTTCCAAATCAAGTCACACTTCACAGTATATTCTGCAGCTTCTCTCTGAAATTTCTCTATGACTAAAGATAAAGAGGGGCTCATCTCAATGGTTGCTATGGCCTTTGCCAAAGATAATGAATGGAGACATAACTCTGTATTTTTATATACTAAGTTCTGAGCCCCTACCAATGGCCTGATAGATCTAGTAACAAGTGGAATTTGGAACCAAATTCAATGGGGAAAATTTATCTGGAAATGATTTAATAAATTTGAATAGCAATGAAAGTTTTAGTCTTACATTTTGATGTTTAGAATAGTGGGAAATAAACTCAGTTACTCTTGGCTTCTCATTTAATATCCTTCCTACTCTTCTCCCTCTGCAAGATGACTGATGTTCATGTGACCTCAGTTAAAATTTAAAATCTTTGGATCACAATTCTCAATGATAATGGAAAACCTTGAAAGGAAGACCTTAATGTCATAGGGTCTTTAGAATAAATGAATTTGGAAAGAATTGTTTACATTTACAGGGGAAAAAAATGTTGGGGCCATAAAACTAGGGACTTTCACACATTCTTTCTCTGTAGGAATTTTGTCATACAGATACTTGATCTTCCATGACTCACAATCCCCACACTAACATTTTAGCATCTTGATATCTGCAACCCTTATCGGATTATATGTGAAGACATATAAACCACACTGATGTAGGTGCAATTATAGGAAATTGGGGCTGTTGTGTCCTACTCAGTGAGTCTGATATTTCAGAACCAGAGGAAAGACACCCACTCTCAGCCTTGGGTTAAGTCAGTTCCACTGGCTTTCAGACAACTGAAATTTTCAGTGCAAAACTAAACTTCATGTCTAACCTGGTGATGGGAAGAGTTTAGAAATATAAGAAAACCCCTCCCTATTCCTTACTGAGAGAGTTTCAGATGGCTATCTCTGGAGTGGCAGTGATAGGTTCTGGAACATCCTCTGTGATTGGAATATTATTGGCTCCTAGAATATATGTTTCACATATTGATGACCCAAAAAGAAAATACAGGCCCAGAATAATTTCACAAAATCACCCAAGGAGAATGAAAATTTTTATAACTCTGAATTAGGGCTGCCCACCTGTCAAGAGAAGCAGCAAACTTCAGCTTCACAGGAGCTTGCCCTTAGAGATGGACAATGCTATAATTTGAATAAAGGTTATCATACATATATTAGAGAATGGAAATGTAGTCACTAAGTCATAAATATTCTAAAATTAATGTCTTTGCTCTTTATTCTTTCTATAAGGTTATTTTAATAAATACACTTGAGTGTTTTAATTTGGGAGATATAATTATAACAGTACTTGTGTTAGCCTGGTCCTTCGGAGTCAGAAGCCATGATGAGATCAAATATGCTGGGAGAGCCATCAGACTGTGATATGAGATATGGGAGAGAGCAAGGGAAGGAAATGCTTACACTGCAGTGCAGGACTCAGAAAGTTTGGTCAAGGCCAAGGGGGAGTCCTCGAGCCAAAGTTATCATCAGAAGAGTCCCATGTCTCCCTGGAATGGGCCTATCTTAGTACCCCCATCATACTTAATCACTTGCTCTTAGAGATGGACCATGTTATAATTTGAATAAAAGTTATCATCCTTAGCCTTGGTGCCCAGGAATCCAGAGCCACCAGCTGGGGCTGTCTGTCAATCCTCAAAGTTGGAGACCTGAGCAGACCACCACAGTACATATTCTTAAAACAGTTGTAGACATCTGTTCTGGATCATCTTAAATAGTGACTTAGTCAACCTCCCCAGTGACCCATATGCACACAGATGGACTCATCCATCTCTATTCCTAAATTAGAGACTGGATAATCCTTTCCAGATTCTTGGGGGCCTTTGGGGAAAGAATATATAGATCACA